CTTCGGTCGAACCTATGAGGTGTTAACAAATCAAGAATTCAACGCTGCAATCACATACCAATCCAAACTGAAACTGACTCCAACTCGAATTTCTTCGTCAGAATGCGGGCCGAAAAAGAAGGGCCGGCCTTGAGCATCCTTCATTGTTTTCCATACTTCTCCATCCTGCATGGAACGGAGCTCTCCATCGACTTGGGGTCGAGTCTTCCAGGCATTCACCGCGGAAACCATCCCAGGCTTCTTGAAAAATTCGCGCAAGCCTGCAGACAACAATTGAATGGGAGCAACCATATGCGGTTTCCGTTTACCTGATCTCGGAGGATCGGGAGGGTTCGCATCATCTGTGTTCTCTGAAGCGTTGTGATGGTCTCGGTGGGCGGCCGTCAACACCTCCTCATCACAGTCCGGACAAAATTCAGGACGGTCCACATTCAAAGATGAAATGGCACTCAATCCAAACAAATGCACGTGAACCTCGGTTCTCACCAAACAAATGCAGATTAACCTTGGCACGATGAGCCGAAATTTCATACCAAAACAGTATTTTGACCACCGTGCAATCATTTCAAGCCGGATTTAGACGGGGTCTTGCTGGGATGAAAGCCAGTGAAATTTGGGTTCAAACTGCCGCAATGGCCATATCAGTGCGGGTGTAAATGTACATGTGGCACTGCGCGGGCGCATCACATTGACGCTCTCATTGCCGAGCTCAATGCAGACTTTGGGTATGATTTGACTCTGAGCCGAACTCGCGATAGGAGATCTGATGCTTGCCTCTTGTGTTGCGTCTGAGCTTGTCTATTTGAATCCTAACATATGCGAGATTCATGCCAGACCACTGTTGCTATCAGACCTAGCGCTTATAGTGAGCAGCAAAGACCCCAGCAAAAAATGAGTTCGGTTCGGCGTTCGAACACCTCTGAACGCCGAACCGAACATGCTGAACCTGAACGCCAGGTTAAGGTTCGCGGTTCAGCAAATTGCTGAACCGATGGCAAGGTTCAGGTTCGGCGTTCAAAAAAAATGGCCCTGAACCGAACTGAACGGAACTTCTCAGAGATGAATTTGGGGATGATATTGCACAGGAATGGCGACCTTCAGTTGTTAGATGGGCTCGCACTCGGCTGCCGAATGGTCAAATCGTGCAGTCTTGGTGGGAAGAAGAACACAAAACGCAGCTCCGAAGTGCTCGACACGTCAAGGTATCTAAGCGCCCAACTGAAGTGGATTATTTTACTCATTGGCGATGAGAGGTATCTAGCCGTGGCTTCATTCTTCGGTCCACTAGATCCGCATCTGCTGGACATTTCTTCAAAGACATATTGGTCAGTGAAGCACCTCCGGGATGCTGATGTTCGTGCCATAGAAGTGACCTCTATCGCATCCTGTGTTATGATGGCTCCGGACAAGCAGTCTCCCCGCTAACTTGGCTGGCGTTTTTGGAGTAGACCAGATAAGTTTGCGGTTAATTCGGCTCTGACTGCCGTTCTCCACGCAACGAGCCGACTGTCCCGTTGTGAACCATCGGATGTTGGCAGAATCTGACGCAAGTCCCGCCCACATCCACACCGTGCCAGGCCGCGCGCGATCTTTGGACCACATTTTGGAATACCTCGGTTATAGTCACCGCCTACGAGCAGTACAAAAAGCAGCAGGCCGTCGTTGTCTAAATATAATAGATGGGATGCAATCGACTCGGATCTGTAAATTTCTGCGGCATCGGTCCATCACTGACAGGCTAAGGAAAATTAAGATGAATTTTGTTGTCGAGATAATGGGTGAAACGAACGAACCCCGAGGTGCGCATAACACATGCAGCTCCGAAAGCAATGGTATCGCTATCCTCGGAAATAAAGGCGTCTATGAAACCCAGCCTATTAAGCTGCGCTAGTTCTGCGGAAGTCCTCGCCAATGGGACACGCGGAGAGCCATACACTTTTTCTGCGCAACGTCGAATCGTCGGAAATCTGGAAACCGATGTGGATGGAGTTGAGTGAGTACTCGAGCTTCTGATGCTCGAGGGAGTGCGTTGAAATCGGGATTAACCTCGAAAATTCTACATTGGGCTGACAGTTTTCGGGCCTTTGCGTTTTCTCCAATATTTTGACGTTGTGCTATGTTGACTTTAATTCCAACTGAGAGCCAACAAGAGAAGCCGCGGGCGGGCATCTCTTGTCTCCGCTCCTATATATATGTGCGTGAGCACTAGTTTCTGCAACCAACTCCACGATGACATCCACCTCATTCCTGTTTCGTCCACCTCATATGCACCCGGATGTGACCAAAGTAGGGATTGATGGGGATCTTATGGCATGTGGGGGGCGGGATGGACATCTGAACCTTTTCTTCCTCACTCGTGGGACTCACATCCTCAGTGTGGAATTCCACTCGCCAATTTCTGCTTTGCACTGGGATACAGCATCTTCGGCAAACCGGATCAATCTACTTTTTGTCGGAATGAGGGATGGAACCGTAGAGAAGCTAGGATTCTCAGTGAGCCCAGATGGTGGCTGCAGTAATGCGCGTTTGGTTTTTTCACGCGCTATGGCATGTGCGCTCACCTTGTCTAGAAGCCTCGAAGGACTCGCATACATCATGATTCGGGAGTCAATGAAGAACCTGTTCTTCAGATAACTTCGAGCGAAAGGGCTGTTATGATCACTACCGCATCCCAGATAATATTTAAGGATCGCAGTACATCTTTGTTCAAAAAATATAAGACTTATGGAATCTCATACAACTTGATTTCAGGAGATTTAATTGAATCCAAGTACACCGCCGCTGATATTCTGGACTGGTGGATTCAGCGAAAATCAAATGCTGACGTGGACTCCAAATCAAGTGTGCCGCCCACTGCAGCAGGATTAAGTCTGCGCATGAACCAAACTAGGAACGAGCAGAGAAATGTCGGAGTGCCTCCAGGTGGAATTTCCCAGGGAAATGAATCAAACACCATCCGCTAGCGGTAGTTCAGATACACAGCATATCCAAGAACTATGTTAATCGGCTAAGTATTCATTGTGCTACCACACCCGACACAGTAGTAGAGGATGACGCCGGGAACGTCAGAAACATAGCCATTATGGATGAGCTCAAGAATGTTCTTGGCCATCTTCCATGCTGCGGAGTTGAAGAGAGGAAGACTGGTTTTTGCATCCTTGAGCGGACCGTAGGTCATGAAAACCTTATGGACAAGGGGGTAAAGGACTTCGGGAGGAGGGATGGTGCGACGGCAATGACGCCATCTTTATGCGATCCTCGGATCCAAGAGCTTGAACGAGGTCACGAGTCTAGGGGCAAAATACACTCAACATTACATTCAACAAACGGAGGTACGACGTCGAATATTGTTGAAGTGTCTGTCTAGGAGAGACTAATCCCTACATCTTTTCCATCCACCCTGGTTCTATTCCTCCACAGTCCACCGAGCCTTATGCACCATTATCGACCGCGATATCGCTCTTGCTTACTTGCGAGTGATATACTAGGAGGAAAAGAAGAGGAGAGAACGAAGCGGATGCGCGGCCTGAACGCTGTTTCCTATTTCCGCTTATCGCACGCAGTTCGACACGGCCATCGACGCGCTTATCGCCTTGGACGCTAGTCCTGCGAAGGCGCTTGCGCTGTATCCAGGAGCGGTTTTCAGTTGTGAGTAGAGCTTCATTCACAGGTCATGATATTTTTTCAATGGCTTAAAATAGTTCAACTTGGGCGGCTTAGGCTGGCGCCGAGGGGAAATAAAAAGAAAAAGACGTGGCGGGGGTGCATAAGGAGTATGATAGAAAGCACGATGGACGTAGGGAGGGCAGTAAGTGGTGGCGACGTTTGGTGTATGATAAGGTGGAAGGGCGATCTGATGCGGACGGTTCGCTGGCAATCACGGGCGAGCAAGGCGAAGACGCAACTGAGCCGGAAACTCCCCGGGCAGAGTTGAGGTGCGGTGGGTCGACGAGCGGAGCCTCTCAGGAACGCCTGCCGTTGCGAAGGACCACACGACACAGCCTGTGGTTAGGAGATGTGAGGAATGCGAAAGGCGGTCACACGGAGCACTCACTGATTTCCAACGTTGTGAGCTTAGGGCACGACTTGACACACAGCCTAGGGATGTCTAGGCCTTTCATCTTGTTAGTGGATTTCGCGCCGAGGGTGAGGTCGGCGAGCTCGGGAAATGACCTGAGGGTGGCGTACACCGGTTCCATCATCTGCACAAGGAGGGAGGTTGAGGGGCGATTGCGAAGGAGGCAACAGGAGGGGGGCTTACATCGCGGGCCTCCACTGTAAAGCCAGAGGTGAGGCGAAGACGACGGAGACGGGCGAAATTGGGGGCGACAAGAAGCGGCCTGAGGTGAAAGGAGAAGGCGTCCAAAACCCGTAGGTCAGGGGCCTTATCAGCGAGAAGGTTGAGACAGTTGGCAAGGGCCGATGTGGTCAAGCCGTCGATGTCATGGAGACGGACATCGACGAGGTGGGCCAAGGAGGGTGAATCGAGCCTTCTAAAGAGGTACATCGGTGCCTCGAACATGGTGAGGAGGGCGTGTGGAAGGATGGGGCTGCCATCGACCGCCGCGTAGACCGGGACCGAGGGACAGGCGGGAAAGCGGATCTGGAGGTGGAGGAGGCCGGGATGGCGGGTGAGGAACTTGATGACGGAATCCTGCCAAACGTCCGACGTATTTCCCGTGAAGATGAAGGCCTTCAAGCAGGGGAAGGTGCACTGGAAGACAGGGTCGAAAGGCTCGGGGAAGTCGAGACGAAGGCCACGATTGGGGTTCGAGGTGACGAGGTGGCCTGGATATTGGTGAAGCGTTTGAGGACGGCAGCTAGGCTTTCGTTGAACGTGGACCTGGTACGCGAGCGCGTCAGACGGTACTATAGCGGATCATGAGGGTGAGCTGAACGCACGACCTCCAAAACCAAGCCCTTCTACCTACTCCCAAGGCATTGATTTGTTGGGGATCCATTCATTCCCGTCTCCACCAAAAAACACTACGAGACAGTAGCGGCTCGGGCCTGGATCGAACAAGCATCTCTCGCGCGCATTGGCATTTCAGAACAACCCAGGAGAAGCGAGCGTGGACCATCCACCACCGAGCCTTTCTACCTACTCCCAAGGCATTGATTTGTTGGGGATCCATTCATTCCCGTCTTCACCAAAAAACACTACGAGAAAGTAGCGGCTCGGGCCTGATTCGAACAGGCTTCTCTCGGCTACACGTTTCTTGTCACGGAAGGCGATTCGAGCATGGGCCATCCGAGCTTTCCTACCTATACAGAGGGCATTGTTTTATTGATGATCCATTCACCCGGTTCCCAAAAAAAGATTGACAAAGAAGCAACGGCTCGGGCCTGGTTTGAACTAGTCTGATAGTAATCACGGTCCGCTTGTTGGCGGACCGTCAAATTACGTAAAAGCGTGGCTGTGCCAACTCGAGTCCTTTCCTTCGTATGGCAAGCAATACAGCTGGAATATATCCCAAAATATTTTCCCAGGTTCGTGAGGCCAACCGGATGATATCCTTCAGCGAGAGTTAAGCTTTTTACCCCGCCAAACCTTCAGAACAGGATCAACCTAAAAAATGATTAGCTAATCTATAGTTCACAAACTCGTCCGGTATCGTCTAGATAACTGCACCAATTGCTTAGCTGTGAGGGAAGGACTGTCTCATTGGGGCATTTTCTATATGGTCAAATATTTGCAGAATTATTCCCTCAGAAGGTGTCCGAGAGCAAGGCCGCAAAGTATTGATCGGTCGGCCAACAAGATGGTCGTGTTTACTAACAGACCCTATATTGATACTTACTTGTTCATCATCAATATAGGTATCTGTTACAGAGACTAGGTTCGAACAGGCGTCTCTCGGCTACATGTTTCTTGTCGGATTCAGAAATGTGATTCGAGTATGGACCATCCACCACCGAGCCTTCCTAACTATACAGAGGGCATTGATTCGTTGAGGATTCAGCCAGCCTGTCGCAGCAAAAAAATGACAGAGGAACAGGGACTACGGCTCAGGCCCGGTTCGAACAGGCATCTCTCGCGCGGCATGTATGACGATCTCAAACATGGGGTGAGCGTGGACCATCCACCACCAAGCCACTTGGTTTAATTTGTCTCTCTATTTCAACAACCAGGTCGGGGCTTTTTACGGCTTATGATCCGCGATCGGACTTTTCGGACCGTGGACTCTATCTGCAAAAATCCTCAGGCTTCTTGGGTTTCGACATCTGGTGAGCTTTCCACACTACTGAAGACGGCTGCACATCACCGGCTACTGCACATTACCCACTGGTGGGTCGCTGGTGGACGGAGGTTTCATTACGGCAAGAACCGTTTCTAAACCGTGCACAAGATGATTCGGGTGCACGGCCCTTTGTGCCCACAGCGTCGGGCTCGCGAAAGAGGATTTGTGCCGGTGTGCACTGTGTTTAGTTGTTATGAAAATCTAGAACGACAGGAAGAGAGATGGAACGCAGCCAGCATCGTGTACTCCAGAGCGCCCGCGTCCTTCCTTGCGCCGCTCCCCGGGGCAGACGCGCTGTCGATGTCCGCAATGCCAAGAAAGCCGCCACCAAGAAAGCTGCGATCAAGAAGACTTCGGCGTCGAAGAAGGGAAAGGGCCCAGTGAAGGGGAAGCAGGTGGTGAATGAGCAGGACGACGGAGATGTCGAGGGGTCTGAGGCGGGGCCGAGTGGTGACGATTAGTATCGGGCCGGAAATCGAGCACCGGCAGTGTCACGGCGTGTGACCGACGTGACCACATTGACTTCCGCTTTCAAAGCTCATTCCTTGATTCCACCACCCACGTATCGGGTACAGTGAGTCTTCGAAGTTCCATCAAATCTATTTCACTCTCTTGTTGCCGAGCTGACGCTCTGGAGTAGTATCTACATACTGTACTATTTCGACCATTTGTTCAGGTGACGGGTGACGGAGGTACCTCGGTTGGCATTCCAAACCCTTTAATGGCTTCAATCCAAGGTCATTGAAGCACGCGCTTCAAAATGAAAGGAAAATACCATAATGGCTTACAGTGGCGGCAAAAAAGAATGAGCACGGTCGTTTGGCCTCATTTCTGGGCCAAATCACGCCAGATAAGACACTACGATAAGCCTTTGGCGATTTCATGACGATATGCATCATAGGCTTTTGAGCTCCCCGCGGGGCATTCAAGTTGTCCATTTTTAGTATTGGACCGGACCATATAAGGATCGTGTACGCCTTCAGTCCAATACGCCGGGCTGCGATTTGAAAAGCATTACCTCGATCTAAACAGTACAACACGAGCTAGGAGGATTATTCATGGTCGAAATCTCCACGAGACGCTGGCTCGCTAGATTTATGTTAGCAATGTAGTCGCACAAATTCGGTTGACACACACTTGTTCCGTGGGAGGATTAGCCGAATTAAGGTAGCAGAAAAAGAAGAAATCATTGACCCATTTTTTAAGTGGGCCGATATTGGTCGCTAAGTAAATGGCGGAAATGGCATCTGCTAGCCGGCCGAAGACGCCGCCAGAACTGGCGCTTCCGAACGGGCAAACATGATCAAGGTAAAAGGGGTTCATCCAGGCACGGGGTTCAAAATGCCATTGTGAGGCACGTGGTTCAAAATGGCTCCCTTATCCCTGCGGAATGCAGCCGAAAAATATATTTTATGAGTAAGGCTGGCTAAAAATATGATTATATTAGAATATATTCTATTATAATCATAGGATATCGTCAACGAGACGGGGGGATCTGAAATATAATGTGTGAAATACGTGTGTATGGCGATGAAACATCCCAAAGCCGAGTTTAAAAAGCTTCAGACAGACACAGATAATCTTATAAAGAGAGAGAAGTGGTATTTGGCACTAATAGACGAGTAATTTTGAACCATAGCATTCATTTTCCTCTAGGCACCCTCTCAAAAAAGCGTGTTTCAAATTCTCACAGGCGTGGAAAGGTAAGACACTTGCCGGTTGTATTCATCGAGGATTTCCTGGGCCGTTCGACGTGTATGCATTGCTGATCAGCTTGAGTACGAAGCACAGAAACAAGGATTGGCAACGGGTAGGTACAATCCAAGAACAACGACGATTAAGGTCAGTTGTCCTTGTGACTCTGGTGCTTCGTCAGGCTTTACGTGCTATTTCCGCTTTGTCGCCCATTTCCCCCTCGAATCCACCCTCGTTCTGGATGCTTACGTCTATTCCGGATTCAATTAACCGTCTAGGAAAAGTTCGAAATCACACTTCCCACATGGTCCTTTCATGCCTGGAAAGGTGAGCGATGCAACTCATTCTTTTTTTCGAGCTCCGAGTCCTTCGTGGGCAATGCATAGACTCAACGTGTATTTGTCTGAGTTCAACTACGTAGAGCAACGCCTCCGATGAGCATCAATTGAGCATCCAGCTTCCACGGCGTCGTTTGTTCTCCGAGACAGGCGCCACTGAGAATTTATCAGCAACATGAGGCATTGAATGCAGCCGCTCGTGCCCTCCGCGCCCTGCTCGGAGAACCCCAGAAGTTCGGTTTCGAGCCCCCTTTGTGGGGAAGAACAACGATGGAGGATTTTGAGCAATGCGAGACAAACCGAGACATGGCCGGACGACTGTCGCCAACGACAAGCCCGAAAGGACTAGGCCGCGGCGATGCCGGCGCATTGAGGCGGGGGAAACGCGCCTCGTCGCCTGCCTCACGCATGGCCCGAAAAGCGCGCTCAGCGGCCTCGCGATAGGCATCGTTGCGGGGCTGACCGGCGAGGGCCGCGATGATGCGGCCCTTGCTGTCGATCAGCGGTCGCGGTGTGCTGAGGGTTCAGTCATTGAGGAGGGGGCAAGGAAGAGGAAGAGGGGCGGACTCACCAACCATCCCACTGGACCAAGTGGAACCCGAGGCCGAGGATGTTGAGCGAGCGCCGGACCTTGCACCCGTATTTCTTGTCCGGGTCTTTTGGCGGCATAGGCGCCGAGCGCAGCGGGGGAGGGAGGTCGCATCAAAGTGGGTGGCGAGCGGAGCGGCGGGCTGGACATGTTCGCGGATGGTGGAGGCGGTGAGCCTGGATGCTGTTTACACGACAGACATCATGACTGGGGGGTCATTCACAGTTATTCACACACAGTTGAGCTAACAGTTGAAAGAGGGATGGGAAAGCCGTCTAGAACCCCGACCACAAGGTATACAGGCTTTGGGGGCCAAAAAGATGATGTTCAACTTTGGTTCAACTTCAACACGAGGAGTCCAATGAGAAGTTTAGGAAAATTGTGTCTTGGAAATGCACAACAACCGTTATTGAAGATTTTGGGGCTTCACAAGCCGATTTTCGCTGTTTTTTGGAACCGGTGGACCAATTTGACAAACGCCTGCGTGACGCGTGACCTCGACCAAGGTCCGTGATCGACAGAGGGGTGCGTGATGCGTGACTACCGATTTGAATGTAAAAGTACAGTATTTAGTGCTCCCCCAATCATGGAATTTTTGATATCCTGCTAGAATTCGCTCGTTCTGTGTTCTCAAAGTCCCAGTCAACGTCCTCCTCCATATTCCTGGCGACTGGAACAGTCGGGGGCTGTCAGGGGTCAAAATGGCATTACAAAGCATGTGACTCAAAATGCCATTCTGGGGCACAGGGTTCAAAATACGAATATCTTGCTGGGTCCATTCAAACCTTAAATATGTTAACTGCTCCCTTATCCCTCCTGCTCTCGGCTGAATTAAATCATTCGATAGTGAAGCACAGGGTTCAAAATGGTATTACAAAGCATGTGATTCAAAATGCCATTCTGTGGCATGGGGTTCAAAATGCGAATTAAATCGTTCAATAGTGAGGCACAGGGGTCAAAATGGCATTATGAAGCATGTGATTCAAAATGCCATTCTGTGGCATGGGGTTCAAAATGCGAATTAAATCATTCAATAGTGAGGCCCACTCTGAACGTCACTTTCACCTCTTCATTGTCGAGCCCTGCATGACAGTTGGCAGATCTGAGATGGCACGTTCTGGTAAGCTGTTCAATAATCCTATGCAATGAGCTCGAGAACGACGTACACCCAGTTAGGTTGGAAGTGCCGCCCTGCCACCGATGAAATTCACTCACTCCAAGCACGGCCCCAAGGCGTCGAAGATCGCCAACATCTCAACTCAAGTTTTGGATTTGGGAGGGATGATGTGCGTCCTAGGCACGTTTTACTTCACTGCACGACTAATAACCTATTCTTCGTAGTCTCGCTGTTCTACAACTCTAACCTATCCCCTCATTTTCAGTCGATTTTTGAAAGCCCACGAGCGAGGTAAGTATTTGATTACCTTGCTCGCCTAAATCTAACATGAATTGTATTGTTGCTTTTCATCGCTATGCCTGGATAGTCGTTACCCGATACAATCTCTGGCCACTATCGCCCAACCAGCCTGGGATCCCAACTGATGAAATGCATGGCTAGCGGGGGTAGCATAGATCTTTGTACGTCCTAGATATTTAGCGTAATTTTTCGAATATGTTTTCACTTTATACCCCGAAAGCAATTCGTCGGTTGGTTGATTGCTATGCAGGTTAGTTACCTTGCCGCAATCGACTATCCGCACCTATTGCCGGAGCGAAGCGACGGCCCGTCTTGTACAATATATTGTATTCACGTTACCTGCCATGTTTAAGGCAGCCCGTGGGCGAGTGCGGTTTTTCCCGATGGCGGCCCTGTTGATGGACGTGTGGGGATGCCGGGGACGAGAGATCCCGGAATTCCATCGGGTGCATCCTGACGGCGGTCGCAATTCAGGTAAGATGCCATCCATACAATATAAGTATTATATTCATGTTATCTCCTATATTCAAAGCCACCCGAACCTCGATGGATTTTGCTTGTGCAATCAACAGAGCTTTAACCGGCAGGGACATCCAAAACAAATTAAGGGACATGGTAAGTGAGAGAAAGACCCCACCGGTATCACATCCCGCATCGCCACGGAGACGCGTGACGGTGCCTTTCTTGTCCACTACTACGATACACAAGAGGCGTGCGATCTCTGGATGTTGGATAAATTCCCACGGGGGACCTACCCCCCCGAATAAGGCAATCCTGAGTCAGCGGCGTCTTCTCGGCCATCAGCTGCGCACCGC